AGAAATGTTGTACAGTAACACTTTACTGGATTTTGGTTTTTGATGTCAGAATTTATTTTTTTGGTCTTTGTCCTATTAGGTTGTGGCATCCCCACAGGAGAGCAGGTGACTTGTGGCCAGTCAGGAATATCGTCCTCAGACTGTGAGATGATGGGATGCTGTGTGGATTCTTCTACATCTACCTGCTACTACCCAATGGATGGTGAGGCTTCTGATTTTTAAAAAAATATTCAAATAGGAAATGTCTGTCTTTCAAGTGACTTTTGTCCCCCCCCTCTCTTTAGAGTGCACTGTTGATCAACACTTTGTGTTCGCCATTCGTGCCAACTCTGCATCAATCCCTGTGGACCCCACCAAGCTTGTTGTTTCTGGGAGTACAAACTGTAAACCAGTCATTGTCAACGACAAAGTTGCCATCTTTAAGTTCAAAAATTCAGAATGTGGAGTTCATGCTTATGTAAGTCATGCCCTTTGTGTTTATATTTTTCCCAGTGCGCTTTCCACTTTGTTACTTTTTTAGCAAGTTGGAAGATGCTTCACAACTTGACCTCTGTAAAACTTAATTTAAAAGCCTAGTCCTAGTTAAGCTATATTCACACTGCAGGCCTTGAGGCTCAATTTCAATTGAGATTGACTGAACAATTAGCAAGATCCTTGAAGGGGAGATGATTTTATTTTCTGCAATGGGGTTACTACCTATACTGTGAACAGAAGGGATTACATTTAACTTTCAGTTAAGTTGCTAGAGACTTCATGTTCTCTGACAGGCAGGAAAAAGGCCTGTCCCTGAGACGCTTGTCCCAAATACAGGCAGCACGTTTAATGCTGCAGCCCTCTAAGTTTCCCTCGACTTCCTCGCCCTGACCTGCCATTGTAGCGCACGGTTATGTCACAGGTTGATAGTGTTGCATCTAGATTTCAGATTTTTAACTGTGCTGTAAGGTGCACAGAATATTATGTGTTTCTCAATGTGGTGGTCATTAAAAGAGCAGATTGCTAAATCACAAGTAAAGGGATTTTATAAATGCACTCACTCTAAACATACTGGGAGTCTTGGAGGGTGTGCTTCAGGCATTACATTATGCATGCTGTGTAATCTGCTGGGAAACCTGAAGCAAACAGCTGACAAGTTGACTTTTCTTGACAGGAAGTTGGTGAGACGATGATCTACCTGGCTGAAGTGCAGACTGTCGTCCAATCTCTGACCCTCCAGTATGGCGTAATTGCAACACGTGATCCACTCAGGTTAGTGTTACACAATACACTTTGACTCTGTGGGCACAATTCTACCACTCTGTTGTGTGTTTGTGTAGTGCTAAGCTTAAATGTTAACCCACGTATCTGCATAGGTTCATGGTTGAGTGTCGCTATAGCAAAGCAGGCGTTGCTCCGCAGTCACTAACCAGCGTTGGCTACATGGTGAAGACCCCGAGTTCCACCTTGCCGTCAGCGGTCCTCTCTAATGGCTTATATGCTGTTGACTTGAGAATTGCTAAAGGTTGGGTATTTATGCCTTATTTTCTATACCAATTGCAACAAGTACAATCTTGATTCTGCTGGAGTAGGATTGCATACGAGTAGCTCTGAAATATGGACTTGTCAAATTCATTGACTGTTTGCTCTTTGTCTGTCTAACCCCAACAGATCAGACGTATTCAAGCTACTTGCCCACAAATAATCAGCCCTTGCGACTGCTCCTTGGCAGTCCAGTCTATCTTGAACTGCGCCTGATATCACCAAAACCAGATGCGGTAATCCTTGTCAACTACTGTGTAGCTTACCCTCGCTCTGCAAGGAATGCACTGGTGCTTATTTATGAAGGGTAAGCATGACCGAACTCCATGTGTACTAAAACACACCCTCCTCGCCCTCTTTCTGCCTAACCATGAGTCATATTTGTCTCCAGGTGTCCCAACCTTTATGCTCCAAATGTGTCCCTCCTTAAAATCATTGACTGCAAAAATCGTCATCAGAGGCGGTTTGTGGTTGAAGCCTTCCAGTTTATGGTTCAAAAGACAAACAAATACCTTGATGAAGAAGTGAGTAATCAGGAAGCCGTTATGGGTCTAAATGGTCAAAGCTATGCTGTGTACAACTGCCCTGACACAGTAATGTGGTGACTTATTCTATCCCGCTATTATGATTGCAAAGCGGAAATGAAATTTACCAAATATGTCAATGTAATATTTGTCTAGCTTTCAAGTGTCTGCTCCAAACTGAATTGCCTCCACTTGAGATTTTGTACTTTAGAGGCAACAGTGCTGTCATTCTGTGGAAAACGCATATGGGATGTATACACTTTTTCTGCCATGGTGAATGGTGTGTTTTGTTTTTCCCCTGTAGATCTATTTCATGTGCTCTACAGAAGTGTGTTTACCAGCAGATAGGCCATGTGAACAACGGTGCTTTGATGGAAAGGTGAGTCTGTAAACTATGCCAATGTCCTATCAGCTCAGTGTATTTAAGTCTAATCAATTTCTTTTCTTCTAGGCACCATAAGGATGCTGCAGAAGACTTAAGGAGGGGGGGGGGGAATAAATCGCATTTTATAACACGGTAAACCAGGTCTTGTGGTTTTTGTTAATGTAGACTTGTAAGTCTGTAAATGACTTGTGTGGGGTGAAACGGTGACACTGTTCTTACAAGGATACTGTTGGTGGTGATCTTCAGCCTTTTGAGCAGAGGAATCTATCCACTGTATATTGTAGATAAAGAGGGAAAATGAGAATGCAAATATCCCTAGAGGATCAACGGAAACGCCTCAGAATAATGCAGTACTTCAACACCAAAACTACATCCTCCCCAGTTGAAAAGTACTTGGATGATATATTGGGTTGTGAATGGTGTGCTATATAAAGGTAACATGACAAGGGAAAATACGAGTACTGATCAAGTTTTATTAGTGGTTGGACTTTGTTGAAGAGACTGCACAAAATGACATTCTGAGAATTATGAAGAAACAGAGATACAGCTTAAAAATGAGGGCAGAAAGCTGGACAAAAGAAACCATTACTATGTTCATATCTAAATGTGTCTGTATTAAAACAACAAAGATGATGACATTTGTAAACCGTAAGACGGTGTCTTCAGTTCTGGCATGCATTTTTGACCCCTTAGTAGCTAATGGTCATAATTTTTTACATAGAGCAGAAATTTACTTTTCAGCTGTATCGCTGCCTCTTGAGCTTGCAGTGTAAATGTGATTTTTAGTTTTTATGTAGATTGTCTGTGGTGCACAACCAGAGGAATTGGTTAAATAATGAGATGCCTTGCACTGGGCATGTAGGTGACATGGCAGGATCTGGTCCATCAATAACAAAAAATACCACTGCTTACTTCATAAAAGCACAACTTTATTCACTGATTTTGCTGAAACTGGATCATATTTGATGGAAAATATTTCCTGGTTTCAGGCCTGGCGCCAGGATGAAGTGACTGAGGGGGGGGGGGGGGATCTCTGTGTGTCAGACATGCTCACAAGTCTTTGAGCTAGAGTCCAAGGCCCAAGCCCTGAACCCTCAGACTTTACTGACGTCACTGGCTCAAAATGCTGTGAACGGGACAGCACTTTATCACGTTACCTTGACGGCGCTGAAACACATTGCGCACCTTTTATGTTTTTGCCTTGTTTTTAAGTCCTGCAGGCGATTGCCCTACAGAGTGGAGGAGAGGTAGCCTAAATGTCAATATATATTTGTCAATAATCATTAATACACTATAGTTGGTCAAATGGCATCGTTATCATTTCCCATTCCCTTTTAAAGCCAGGTGCGCATGTACTTTGGCGCATTGCTATTATGGTGCTTTCAGACCAAAAGTGAAGCAATCGTTTGGGGCGGTGCGTTTACATACAAAGTCAAATATAAGGCCAACGCCTACAAGGGAATTTCTACTTCACTACTAAAAAAAACACCCAGGTTTTTCTTTTGGTTCTAGAGAATATGATTACAAGAAAGGACATTAATGTTTTAAATGATAAAGACTTTTGAATAGTCTGCTTATTTGACTTGTGGTGCAGTAGTAGACTATATGGGTGTTTGTGTTCTTGTACTGAAATATTTGCAATAAACTCTTTTGCCACCCCCGAGAAATTTCGGTGTCTTATTTTATATTTTTCTTCTAGTTAAAGACGCTGAAAGGTGTGATTTCTGATCCATCATCATGGAAGAACTTTAAAAGATAAAAGTCCGGCAATGCTCTGTGAAATACATTTGAACATAGCCGTTTACATGAAGCTTTTCTTTTGGAGACTGAAATGAAAGCCAGCTGAGTTTAATTATTTCAGTCAGTGAAATCCATCCATCCGTCAGTGAAATGAAGCATTTAAATGTTAATGACAACCTTTATTAGGTATAACTGTAAAGTGTAATCTATTCAACATCTTTGTGATAGAATGTATTTGTGTGATGCTTGTAAGATGGTTTTAGCTGTTGATTCTACTTTTGAGATGGAGAGTAGATGGTTTCATATAGTATTTAATCTATTTCAATGATTTTTTTAAACAATGACATGTACACACTGTACATGAGGAAGACAATGACAATATTAGAGACACCTCCAAATGTAATGCAGCACCCAAAGGAAAACCCTGTGTTGATTAAATGTGTAACAAGCAATATCCAAGGTGTTATTTAGAAAAATAAAATAACTGAACATGCTTGCAGTATTCAAAATGTTTGTCTGAAAGATAAATTCCAGTTATACTTAAGAAAAGATTTCAAAAAGTATTTGCACAGACTGTGTGCCTGTAACTTGTAACATAATGTCATACATTTACATCATTAAATGTTGGTCAGTTGATTTATTTTAAAAGAACTGTAACATCTTAGAAACATGAAATAGGCATTTCCTTTAGTAAACAGGCAGTTTTCATTCCCAAACCTGTGACTTTAGTTGAGTAGCGAGTGCCAATCAGTAGTCACCAGGTGCACTCAATTGACTTCAAACCGCCACCCGCTCCGTTTCAAGAGGCTATATCTTTGTCTGGGTGCTCAGCAACTGCAGGAGGGCCTTCACATTGATTCATGGCTGGCGTCAGGGTAGAGCTGCTGCTGGTCCTGACTGCGACTCTGCTGGTTTCAGTAGAGGGATGGGCGCGGATCAAGAAAATTCAACGTCCCTCGCCAGGTAAACAACCACCAATGACACAGCACCGATAATAAGCGTGTGGTCACTGAAAGCAGGTTCTTGCAAATGTCGTCTTTTGCATACGTCTACAACTGGACCACTATGTCATTTATGAGGGATGGTAACATGCAGACATCGCTTTGTAGCTGTCATTTACAAAGTCATGGACTTTATGATTGTAGTAGGTATGTGAACAAAATTTGCAGCGTGGTCAAATGCTAAAACAAATTGTACAGCTGGAAAGGGCTTGAAATATACTTGAAAATGATAACAAGACCAGGTTTATTGCTTCAATAATTGCACAACACTGGTCATTTAAAAGCCAAAAGTAGTCCCTTACACTTGTCTTGTTTTCCCCTGAAGTTAAAGCAAAAGGTGTGACCCTACGGCATGGCTATAGCACACTCTGCTGGCTGCTTCTTATGTTCTTAGTCAATTGAAGCAGATTTTGCGGGCAATAAAACCCCCAAGGTTGTTGTTCAAATTCATTGAAATTTTGTTCACTTGTAGTCTAGCAATTAAACTAAATATCTATTACAGTTGTTTACAAATGTTTATACTTCAGCAAAAAATGAGATTATTTTGTGACTGACAAACTTTGGCGCGCTCACAATGCCAGTATTTCAACGGGAAAGACGGAGTCTTGAAACGAGGAGGTATCTATGGTTCTTCTGGCGGTGTAATGAATCAGAACCTGGAAGTTCTGCAAAAAGAGTAATTTTCTCAACACTGCAAGACACCTGAGGGGAAAAACCAGAGTTAACGTCTATCGGAACAAAGATGGCAGCCGCGATAGTGGAGATTGCCGTGTACCTAGTTTTAGCCTATGTATTTCCATCATATCAAGCATGGATGACCTGAGATGTCTGTGTTTCTGTCCACTCTAGCAACTGCTTAGTCATAAAGACTGGAAGAAACTATTTGGCTGGGCTGTCTACATCGATTTGACAAGAAATGGCTGAATTCTTTTTGACTGCAATCTGTGACATTGGTAACAATTGCCTCTCTCCACTCCAGATGACCGCAGGGAGGACGACAGCGGTGAAGATGCAGTTCTTGAGGATTCATTGCTTCAAGTTGAAGGCGCCACCGCCAGTGGAAACTTCTACAATTTTGCTAACCATGGAGACCAGATTGACACAGTAGATTCTAGTCCAAGAACATGGCGCAGAGGTACTGATAGTAGTTTCCAGATGGAATTTGACAATATCCCTTCAAGGAGCCAGACCAGCGGTACCAGTCGGCGTCGGACTGGGCTAGATGTGGTTTGCAGTGACGCTGGCTTTCAAATTACTGTGCTGAAAGGTTCATTAAGTGAAGTTAAAGTTGTGGGTATGTACTTGACTTTGCTGCCTATTTAAATGTCTTTATTTTGCTGAATGCATGTTGTAAACTGACTAGGCTTTCACTTCGTTCATCAGGCTCAAAGGACCTGCTGTCTGTTATGGATGCTCCAGAGTCTTGTGGTTATGAAGTGAACCCTTTGACTAACACCTTGGCTGTACCCTTTACCGGGTGCCATGTGAAACGGGTAGGCTTCTTTAAATGTACTTTGAAGTAATTGCCTTGGCTCTGTAGTCTATATTTTTAATGTGTAGTTTTGCATGTCTTGAATTGAGTTCTTTCTTCAAAAAGCTCTTTGTATTACAGAGTGACCGCTACAGCCTGCAGTTGTTGTACGTCAACGCGTTTGATCAGACACAAGTTGCTACCGCATCTTGTGAGAGACGCCTGAAGGTTGACCCAGGCGTATTTCCTGGCTCCAGTGGCCAATCCTATCCCACATTTAAGCGCATTGAGCCAATCCGAGCGCGGCCACAACGGCCTGCATGTCCGCAAAAGCCTGGCTCGCCCCAAGAACCTTCATTGCCCCTAGGGCCTGGATCACACCAAGGGCCTTCATCCCCGCAACTGCCTGGCTCACCCGTAGGGCCTGGGTCGCCCCAAGGGCCGTCTTCCCCGCAACAGCCTGGATTGCCCCTAGGGCCTGGGTCGTCCCAAGGACCTTCATCCCCGCAACAGCCTGGCTCGCCCCTAGGGCCCGGCTCACCGCAAGGGCCGTCTTCCCAGCAACAGCCCGGCTCACCACAAGAACCTTCATTGCCTCTAGGGCCTTCGTCGCCCCAAGGGCCGTCTTCCCCGCAACAGCCTGGCTCACCCGTAGGGCCTGGGTCGCCCCAAGGGCCTTCATCCCCAGAAGAACCTTCATTGCCTCTAGGGCCTGGGTCGCCCCAAGGGCCTGGCTCACCCGTAGGGCCTGGGTCGCCCCAAGGGCCTTCATCCCCAGAAGAACCTTCATTGCCTCTAGGGCCTGGGTCACCGCAAGGGCCTTCTTACCCGCAACAGCCTGGCTCGCCCCTAGGGCCCAGCTTGCCGCAAGGGCCGTCTTCCCCGCAACAGCCTGGCTCACCCCAAGAACCTTCATTGCCCCTAGGGCCCGGGTCACCCCAAGGGCCTTCTTACCCGCAACAGCCTGGGTCACCGCAAGGGCCTTCATCTCCGCAACAGCCTGGGTCGTCGCAAGGGCCTGGCTCGCCCCAAGAACCTTCATTGCCACTAGGGCCTGGGTCGCCGCAAGGGCCTTCATACCCGCAACAGCCTGGCTCGCCCCTAGGGCCCGGCTCACCGCAAGGGCCGTCTTCCCCGCAACAGCCTGGATTGCCCCTAGGGCCTGGGTCGTCCCAAGGGCCTTCATCCCCAGAAGAACCTTCTTTGCCCCTAGGGCCTGGGTCACCCCAAGGGCCTTCATCCCCGCAACAGCCTGGCTCGCCCCTAGGGCCTGGGTCACCCCAAGGGCCTTCATCCCCGCAACAGCCTGGCTCGCCCCTAGGGCCCGGCTCACCGCAAGGGCCATCTTCCCTGCAACAGCCTGGCTCACCCCAAGAACCTTCTTTGCCCCTGGGGCCTGGGTCGCCCCAACAGCCTGGCTCACCCGTAGGGCCTGGGTCGTCCCAAGAACCTTCATCCCCGCAACAGCCTGGCTCGCCCCTAGGGCCCGGCTCGCCGCAAGGGCCGTCTTCCCCGCAACAGCCTGGATTGCCCCTAGGGCCTGGGTCGTCCCAAGAACCTTCATCCCCGCAACAGCCTGGCTCGCCCCTAGGGCCCGGCTCACCGCAAGGGCCATCTTCCCCGCAACAGCCTGGCTTGCCCCAAGGGCCCCAACAGCCTGGCTCACCCCAAGGGCCTTCATCCCCACAAGAACCTTCTTTGCCCCTTGGACCTGGGTCGCCCCAACAGCCTGGGTCGTCCCAAGAACCTTCATCCCCTCAACAGCCTGGCTCACCCCTAGGGCCCGGCTCACCGCAAGGGCCGTCTTCCCCCCAACAGCCTGGCTCGCCCCAAGGGCCCCAACAGCCTGGCTCACCCCAAGGGCCTTCATCCCCACAAGAACCTTCTTTGCCCCTTGGACCTGGGTCGCCCCAACAGCCTGGCTCACCCGTAGGGCCTGGGTCGTCCCAAGAACCTTCATCCCCGCAACAGCCTGGCTCGCCCCTAGGACCCGGCTCGCCGCAAGGGCCGTCTTCCCCGCAACAGCCTGGATTGCCCCTAGGGCCTGGGTCGTCCCAAGAACCTTCATCCCCGCAACAGCCTGGCTCGCCCCTAGGGCCCGGCTCACCGCAAGGGCCATCTTCCCCGCAACAGCCTGGCTTGCCCCAAGGGCCCCAACAGCCTGGCTCACCCCAAGGGCCTTCATCCCCACAAGAACCTTCTTTGCCCCTAGGGCCCGGCTCGCCGCAAGGGCCGTCTTCCCCGCAACAGCCTGGCTCACCCGTAGGGCCTGGGTCGTCCCAAGAACCTTCATCCCCGCAACAGCCTGGCTCGCCCCTAGGGCCCGGCTCGCCGCAAGGGCAGTCTTCCCGCAACAGCCTGGCTCGCCCCTAGGACCCGGCTCGCCGCAAGGGCCGTCTTCCCCGCAACAGCCTGGATTGCCCCTAGGGCCTGGGTCGTCCCAAGAACCTTCATCCCCGCAACAGCCTGGCTCGCCCCTAGGGCCCGGCTCACCGCAAGGGCCAGCTTCCCCGCAACAGCCTGGCTCGCCCCAAGGGCCTTCATCCCCACAAGAACCTTCTTTGCCCCTTGGACCTGGGTCGCCCCAACAGCCTGGCTCACCCGTAGGGCCTGGGTCGTCCCAAGAACCTTCATCCCCGCAACAGCCTGGCTCGCCCCTAGGACCCGGCTCGCCGCAAGGGCCGTCTTCCCCGCAACAGCCTGGATTGCCCCTAGGGCCTGGGTCGTCCCAAGAACCTTCATCCCCGCAACAGCCTGGCTCGCCCCTAGGGCCCGGCTCACCGCAAGGGCCGTCTTCCCCGCAACAGCCTGGATTGCCCCTAGGGCCTGGGTCGTCCCAAGAACCTTCATCCCCGCAACAGCCTGGCTCACCCCTAGGGCCTGGGTCGTCCCAAGAACCTTCATCCCCGCAACAGCCTGGCTCGCCCCTAGGGCCCGGCTCGCCGCAAGGGCCGTCTTCCCCGCAACAGCCTGGATTGCCCCTAGGGCCTGGGTCGTCCCAAGAACCTTCATCCCCGCAACAGCCTGGCTCGCCCCTAGGGCCCGGCTCACCGCAAGGGCCGTCTTCCCCGCAACAGCCTGGATTGCCCCTAGGACCCGGCTCGCCGCAAGGGCTGTCTTCCCCGCAACAGCCTGGATTGCCCCTAGGGCCTGGGTCGTCCCAAGAACCTTCATCCCCGCAACAGCCTGGCTCGCCCCTAGGGCCCGGCTCACCGCAAGGGCCAGCTTCCCCGCAACAGCCTGGCTCGCCCCTAGGGCCCGGCTCACCGCAAGGGCCAGCTTCCCCGCAACAGCCTGGCTCGCCCCAAGGGCCTTCATCCCCACAAGAACCTTCTTTGCCCCTTGGACCTGGGTCGCCCCAACAGCCTGGCTCACCCGTAGGGCCTGGGTCGTCCCAAGAACCTTCATCCCCGCAACAGCCTGGCTCGCCCCTAGGACCCGGCTCGCCGCAAGGGCCGTCTTCCCCGCAACAGCCTGGATTGCCCCTAGGGCCTGGGTCGTCCCAACAGCCTGGCTCACCCGTAGGGCCTGGGTCGTCCCAAGAACCTTCATCCCCGCAACAGCCTGGCTCGCCCCTAGGGCCTGGGTCGTCCCAAGAACCTTCATCCCCGCAACAGCCTGGCTCGCCCCTAGGGCCCGGCTCACCGCAAGGGCCGTCTTCCCCGCAACAGCCTGGATTGCCCCTAGGGCCTGGGTCGTCCCAAGAACCTTCATCCCCGCAACAGCCTGGCTCACCCCTAGGGCCTGGGTCGCCGCAAGGGCCTTCATCCCCGCAACAGCCTGGCTCACCCCTAGGGCCTGGGTCGCCGCAAGGGTCTTCATCCCCGCAACAGCCTGGCTCACCCCTAGGGCCTGGGTCGCCGCAAGGGTCTTCATCCCCACAACTGCCTGGATTGCCCCAAGAACCTTCATCCCCGCAAATTCATCCAACCAGAGCGCGGCCGCAACGGCCTGCATGTCCGCAACGGCCTGGAGCGCTCCTAGGGCCCGGATCACCCCAAGGGCCCCCATCCCCACAACAGCCTTCATCCCCGCAAGGGCCGCAACTACCAACATTGCCAACGACACATGGTCAGTACAAAGTACGTTCAGCAAATGTGCTGAATAGAAATGTTGTACAGTAACACTTTACTGGATTTTGGTTTTTGATGTCAGAATTTATTTTTTTGGTCTTTGTCCTATTAGGTTGTGGCATCCCCACAGGAGAGCAGGTGACTTGTGGCCAGTCAGGAATATCGTCCTCAGACTGTGAGATGATGGGATGCTGTGTGGATTCTTCTACATCTACCTGCTACTACCCAATGGATGGTGAGGCTTCTGATTTTTAAAAAAATATTCAAATAGGAAATGTCTGTCTTTCAAGTGACTTTTGTCCCCCCCCTCTCTTTAGAGTGCACTGTTGATCAACACTTTGTGTTCGCCATTCGTGCCAACTCTGCATCAATCCCTGTGGACCCCACCAAGCTTGTTGTTTCTGGGAGTACAAACTGTAAACCAGTCATTGTCAACGACAAAGTTGCCATCTTTAAGTTCAAAAATTCAGAATGTGGAGTTCATGCTTATGTAAGTCATGCCCTTTGTGTTTATATTTTTCCCAGTGCGCTTTCCACTTTGTTACTTTTTTAGCAAGTTGGAAGATGCTTCACAACTTGACCTCTGTAAAACTTAATTTAAAAGCCTAGTCCTAGTTAAGCTATATTCACACTGCAGGCCTTGAGGCTCAATTTCAATTGAGATTGACTGAACAATTAGCAAGATCCTTGAAGGGGAGATGATTTTATTTTCTGCAATGGGGTTACTACCTATACTGTGAACAGAAGGGATTACATTTAACTTTCAGTTAAGTTGCTAGAGACTTCATGTTCTCTGACAGGCAGGAAAAAGGCCTGTCCCTGAGACGCTTGTCCCAAATACAGGCAGCACGTTTAATGCTGCAGCCCTCTAAGTTTCCCTCGACTTCCTCGCCCTGACCTGCCATTGTAGCGCACGGTTATGTCACAGGTTGATAGTGTTGCATCTAGATTTCAGATTTTTAACTGTGCTGTAAGGTGCACAGAATATTATGTGTTTCTCAATGTGGTGGTCATTAAAAGAGCAGATTGCTAAATCACAAGTAAAGGGATTTTATAAATGCACTCACTCTAAACATACTGGGAGTCTTGGAGGGTGTGCTTCAGGCATTACATTATGCATGCTGTGTAATCTGCTGGGAAACCTGAAGCAAACAGCTGACAAGTTGACTTTTCTTGACAGGAAGTTGGTGAGACGATGATCTACCTGGCTGAAGTGCAGACTGTCGTCCAATCTCTGACCCTCCAGTATGGCGTAATTGCAACACGTGATCCACTCAGGTTAGTGTTACACAATACACTTTGACTCTGTGGGCACAATTCTACCACTCTGTTGTGTGTTTGTGTAGTGCTAAGCTTAAATGTTAACCCACGTATCTGCATAGGTTCATGGTTGAGTGTCGCTATAGCAAAGCAGGCGTTGCTCCGCAGTCACTAACCAGCGTTGGCTACATGGTGAAGACCCCGAGTTCCACCTTGCCGTCAGCGGTCCTCTCTAATGGCTTATATGCTGTTGACTTGAGAATTGCTAAAGGTTGGGTATTTATGCCTTATTTTCTATACCAATTGCAACAAGTACAATCTTGATTCTGCTGGAGTAGGATTGCATACGAGTAGCTCTGAAATATGGACTTGTCAAATTCATTGACTGTTTGCTCTTTGTCTGTCTAACCCCAACAGATCAGACGTATTCAAGCTACTTGCCCACAAATAATCAGCCCTTGCGACTGCTCCTTGGCAGTCCAGTCTATCTTGAACTGCGCCTGATATCACCAAAACCAGATGCGGTAATCCTTGTCAACTACTGTGTAGCTTACCCTCGCTCTGCAAGGAATGCACTGGTGCTTATTTATGAAGGGTAAGCATGACCGAACTCCATGTGTACTAAAACACACCCTCCTCGCCCTCTTTCTGCCTAACCATGAGTCATATTTGTCTCCAGGTGTCCCAACCTTTATGCTCCAAATGTGTCCCTCCTTAAAATCATTGACTGCAAAAATCGTCATCAGAGGCGGTTTGTGGTTGAAGCCTTCCAGTTTATGGTTCAAAAGACAAACAAATACCTTGATGAAGAAGTGAGTAATCAGGAAGCCGTTATGGGTCTAAATGGTCAAAGCTATGCTGTGTACAACTGCCCTGACACAGTAATGTGGTGACTTATTCTATCCCGCTATTATGATTGCAAAGCGGAAATGAAATTTACCAAATATGTCAATGTAATATTTGTCTAGCTTTCAAGTGTCTGCTCCAAACTGAATTGCCTCCACTTGAGATTTTGTACTTTAGAGGCAACAGTGCTGTCATTCTGTGGAAAACGCATATGGGATGTATACACTTTTTCTGCCATGGTGAATGGTGTGTTTTGTTTTTCCCCTGTAGATCTATTTCATGTGCTCTACAGAAGTGTGTTTACCAGCAGATAGGCCATGTGAACAACGGTGCTTTGATGGAAAGGTGAGTCTGTAAACTATGCCAATGTCCTATCAGCTCAGTGTATTTAAGTCTAATCAATTTCTTTTCTTCTAGGCACCATAAGGATGCTGCAGAAGACTTAAGGAGGGGGGGGGGGGAATAAATCGCATTTTATAACACGGTAAACCAGGTCTTGTGGTTTTTGTTAATGTAGACTTGTAAGTCTGTAAATGACTTGTGTGGGGTGAAACGGTGACACTGTTCTTACAAGGATACTGTTGGTGGTGATCTTCAGCCTTTTGAGCAGAGGAATCTATCCACTGTATATTGTAGATAAAGAGGGAAAATGAGAATGCAAATATCCCTAGAGGATCAACGGAAACGCCTCAGAATAATGCAGTACTTCAACACCAAAACTACATCCTCCCCAGTTGAAAAGTACTTGGATGATATATTGGGTTGTGAATGGTGTGCTATATAAAGGTAACATGACAAGGGAAAATACGAGTACTGATCAAGTTTTATTAGTGGTTGGACTTTGTTGAAGAGACTGCACAAAATGACATTCTGAGAATTATGAAGAAACAGAGATACAGCTTAAAAATGAGGGCAGAAAGCTGGACAAAAGAAACCATTACTATGTTCATATCTAAATGTGTCTGTATTAAAACAACAAAGATGATGACATTTGTAAACCGTAAGACGGTGTCTTCAGTTCTGGCATGCATTTTTGACCCCTTAGTAGCTAATGGTCATAATTTTTTACATAGAGCAGAAATTTACTTTTCAGCTGTATCGCTGCCTCTTGAGCTTGCAGTGTAAATGTGATTTTTAGTTTTTATGTACATTGTCTGTGGTGCACAACCAGAGGAATTGGTTAAATAATGAGATGCCTTGCACTGGGCATGTAGGTGACATGGCAGGATCTGGTCCATCAATAACAAAAAATACCACTGCTTACTTCATAAAAGCACAACTTTATTCACTGATTTTGCTGAAACTGGATCATATTTGATGGAAAATATTTCCTGGTTTCAGGCCTGGCGCCAGGATGAAGTGACTGACGGGGGGGGAATCTCTGTGTGTCAGACATGCTCACAAGTCTTTGAGCTAGAGTCCAAGGCCCAAGCCCTGAACCCTCAGACTTTACTGACGTCACTTGGAAAGTGAGTTTAAGTGGCTGCAAGGGCTCAAAATGCTGTGAACGGGACAGCACTTTATCACGTTACCTTGACGACGCTGAAACACGTTGCGCACTTTTTATTTTATGTTTTTGCCTTGTTTTTAAGTCCTGCAAGCGAGGTGTGCATCAGAGATGCTCACAAGTCTTTGGCACATTAAATACTGTAGCAACACGTCCACAGATTGTTGGACAGCACTTTGTGTACAAACTCACGAGTACACATAAGTGCTTCTGAACAGTATAAACTACAGCTTTCACTAACTGATACACCGACAGCCATCTTTGATCACAAAGTCAGGGTAAGTGCGGTTCCTAACTGATACCCCGACAGCCATCTTTGATCACAAAGTCGGTGTAAGTGCTGAGCTGGAACACACCATTAAACCCACATGAGGAGAGCGTTGCGTGGATTAAATTTGCGTTTGGTCTGAATGCCACATTATGAAAACACCAATTGACTGACTGAATTGCAGACTCAAAGCAGAGAGGGGATATGGAGATAAGCGTGGACGTGATCTAAAAACCATCTCTGATCATGAAGCCTATGTTACTCTGCAGCTCTGTAGTTTATCAGTGAAGAGTCGGAACTCCAGTCTGGAGACCCTGTCTCCTCTAATGTCTGGATCCTCACTGTGCTGCGTTAATATAAAATGATGAACCGCTTAAGGTTCTTTATTTTGTGTTTTATTGATTTGAGTGTTTTTAAATGATTTACTTTCATAATTAGAGAGGCTGCTGTCAGTCATTTTAAACGTTATGTGCGTAATAAAGTCGCAACAAATGTCGCGGGGTAGCCTATTTGAGCAGCAGAACTGAAAAACAAAGAGGAAACCGAATTCAACTTTGATCTTCTGAAATTATTTAGACGCTCTGATGGAGCTCAGGATGGATCAGGAGGACGGCTGCTTTACTCCAAACAGTTTCACTGTATGAACCTGACCTGTGTGTGAGACCTTTGGATGTGTAGAAGAACACAGAACATCAATTAACATCCTTACCAATGCTGCCAGCGTGTCAGGAGATTTTAATAATCAATGAAGTTACGCTGCTGTACCTTGTGCATAAATGCACACAGTGTCACAGTAATGCGCCCCTAAAATAAGAAAAACAGTGAAATACTGTGCCATTGACTTTAGACCTGTTCTTTGTTCTTTTCTTCGTCAATGCAAAAAGGCCAATCACTGTGCGCTGGGAGAAAGATAGGACCAATAATCTTTTTGGTCTTTTTAATAACTGTAGGTTATAAGCCTGCTATGCCAATTTCTGTATTTGTTTTCATCCTGTGGTGGTAAAATGTTGGTGTTTTCACTACAGATGCGAACAATTACCTACCTTACCCAGCTGAATTTTATGTAGCATAATTTAGAAAAATGACTATTGTTGTTTTCATAGGCGCTATAATAATAATAATAATGTAGAATAAGGTGTCCTCAGGCTACTGTTCTGCTTGTTTTTACGGACTCCATCGGGCATGCAGACCAGTAGTTAAACATACAACAGTTTAAAAGTCTAAACAAAAGTATTTATTGAAGAAACCATCAATTCCAAAACTCAAAGTAGATTTTTACCCAATGGAAAAAAATATTTCTTGCTGAACAATAGCCTACATGGCGGTGTAAAATTATTTTTCACAGATAAAAAAACACACGAGGGAGCCACACACTCAAGGGACCACAAAACACACCTGTAGCCTAGTAAGGAAAGACAACTTTGCACTAGCCTATTTCATAGGCTACATGTTTATTGCCATACCACTCTTCATGTTAGGCCTATTGGCACATGTTTTATACCTCACAATAATTGCAAGCCATAATTTAGGGCTGAATACAGCGTTTGTGCATGTTAACTCAAACAGGTCTCAGAATTCCTCTCACGGAATGACCTCCTAGATCCATATTAGTCTGGTTTTAAGAGTGCCCATTCTACTGAAACGGCTCTTCTGTCTGTAACAGAAGCCCTAAGGTCAGCTAAAGCTGCAGCCCAATCCTTGGTTCTTATCCTGCTTGACCTATCAGCTGCCTTTGACACAGTCAACCACAAGATCCTGCTATCCGCTCTTTCAGCAATGGGCATCTCGAGTAAAGCACTCCTGTGGTTTGAATCCTACCTCTCTGTGCGTCAAGGACAATTATCCTCCTCCCACTACCTCTCCACAGGGGTGCCCCAAGGCTCAGTGCTAGGGCTCCTTCTCTTCTCAATTTACACCACCTCACTGGGGCTGATCATTCACTTGCGAGGCTTACCACTGCTACGTAGACGATACGCAACTCTACCTATCCTTCGCAGATCACAGACTGTCTCTCGGACATATCTGCATGAATGAAGGCTTGCCACCGTCAACTAAAGCTCTCTAAGACTGAACTCTTGGTCATTCCAGCCAAGCAATCTATCCACCATCACTCCAACCAAGGTGTGAGAAACTTGGGTGTCATGATTGATGACCAGCTGTCCTTTTTAGACCATGTTGCTGCTGTCCCTCGGTCATGCCGCTTTGCTCTATACAACATAAGGAAAATCAGGCCCTACCTCACTCAGTACGCCACCCAACTTCTGGTACAGGGCATGGTTATCTCTAGCCTCGACTATTGCAATGCCCTCCTAGCAGGTCATCCAACTTGTGTGAAACCCTTACAAATGGTTCAGAACGCAGCAGCACGCCTGGTTTTTGATCAGCCAAAAGGACTCTTGTCACTCCATTACTCAGTGACCTCCACTGGCTCCCCGTGGCCTCCAGAATCAAATTCAAGTCACTAATGCTTGCATACAGAGTGACTACTGGGTCTGCACCCATCTACCTAAACTCCATAATACAAACTTACGTTCCTTCTTGGCCGCTACGCTACTCCAACGAACGCCGCCTGGCTCTGCCATCCCTTCACACAAAGCAATCCCAGTCCCGGCTGTTCTCATCTGTGACACCACGATGGTGGAACGAGCTACCACACGCCATCAGAGCAGGGGCGTCCCTCTCTAACTTCAAGAAGCTCTTGAAAACTCATCTCTTCCGAGAACACTTCCTCTTATAACACATCTAACTCCTAACCTCTAAAATGCACTTCCTGTGCTCTTCTTCTTCTATCACCTACAATTATCTTGTATTGATTGTTTTTTTTGTTTGATTGCACTTTTTGTAAACTCTTACTTCCTTCCCTAGGTATTTACCACATTGATGCGATAGGTACTATGAGGTCTTACTAGTATTTATTGCTGCTCTTACTAGTATGTATTGTCAGTTGTAGATCTGTATTTGATGCTCTGTTGTTTCTCAAATGTAGGTCGCTTTGGATAGAAGTGTCTGCCAAATGAGTAAATGTAAATGTTTACTCTGTGCAAGTGGATCGCTGTCGGATGATGAGCCATCAGATGCAGAATGAATCCAAGACACATCACTCACTCCTAACTTCCCCACCATCGGACTGTCCTTCACTCACTGCGCTGAGCTAGTCTGCATGCCTGTTTAGTGGTAGACTAAAGGTGTTGCCAGTGTCCGAGGGTTTTGGGGTTTCCAGCTGATAAATTGGTTTATTCTCTTTTCAAAGACAAAAAACAATTGTAACTCAATTATTTGCTCAACCCCTCAGCCTGTTTTTATTTTCCATTTAACTCTTTTAACCCTGATTGCACACTGCACTGAAACTTTTACTGTCCTGTTTTACCCTGTTTTTTTAAAAACCCTGTTTTTATATTCTATTTCACCCTTTTCCAAATCATATTTTAATATGTTTCTTTTTCAATGTCCTTGTGTTGCTTTTATGTTTAATGTAAAGTACTTTGAATTGCCTTGTTGTAGAAATGTGCTATACAAATAAACTTGCCTTGCCTTTTATTTTGTATTTTTTGCGTGTATTTCCTATCCTGACCGGCCTGATAGTGGAGGTCTGCAGTTGGACCCTCTTGAATCTATCTGCATATAATCTGCATGCGGGTTGTTACTATGGTTTTGGTATTGGAGTCAAAAATGATCTCTAGCTCTGGGGCTTTCAGATCTTTTAATGCTTTTTTG